TGGATTAAGTGTGGCCTATCTTTTTGTTAAGCAGGTAATTTATCAGACAATCAAAATACAGAAGCTAGATGAGTGGGCTCCAGTCTAGATGGCAACACAAGGCCTGCTGGGGGTCTAGTACCAGGGTGGCCTAGTGTCAAAGATAAACCGGGTTTCTCTGTGACCATATGGCCTCTGATGGCAGATTCCCACCACAGGCTGCTTTTGCTTTCCTACTGTTAGCATATTACAAAGTTTTAACATTAATCCACAAAATGTGACCAACATAACTAGAATTCATATAAACAGGGAACACACTAAATGATTTATGTATTCTGCTAATAGTTAACCCAAATAAACATCTTTTTAAAAATAATGAACTAAGAAAACTAAATATAAAGGTCTGCAAAGATAATATCGAAAGGCAAATCAAAATAGGAAAGTTTAACTTCTGTATTTTTTTTTGAGAGAGAGAATGCACATGCATGCGGGGGAGGGGCAGAGGAAGAGGGAGAGAATCTTAAGCAGGCTCCGGCCCAGCGTGGAGCCAGATGTGGGACTCAATCTCACAACCCTGAGTTCATGATCTGAGCCGAAATCCAGAGTCCAACACCCAACCGACTGAGCCACCCAAGAGCCCTTAGTGTTAACTTTTTAAAGTTACTTCTGTAGTCTCTTGCTTAATATTCACAGCACAATTCCTTTACATCACCTAAAACACACAGGAAAACTCTTTCAGTCTAAGTTCAAGCCTTAGAAATTTAAACTGACCAACTTATTAAATTCTAGAGCGGCCACTAAATTAAATTTGAAAGACTCAGAGACTATTGTGATTTTTAGCAAAGTATATTTCAATATGAGTTGAAACGATAAAGCAATAAAACCAAATATGTAATTGAAACTTTCTGTTTTAACTCCTGCTGGAAAGGAATAAAGATAAAAGGAGAGAGAAACTGAAGGAAGAGTAGAGGACCAAGGTGGGAGGAGCACTGGTAACAAATGCCAAGAGAAAGACCTGCATCCAGCACAGGGGAACCTATCACATAGAAACTACACATCAGGTACTTACTCTGTCAGTTTTGAAAACATAAAACCAGAAGAAGAGGGGCCCAATTCCAAACAGAGCTCCTAAGAGCGAGGTCTTGGGAGTGGGTCTGAAATTGGGATAGATGTTTGCTGATCTTGCATAGGTCCAACGAATCAAGGCAGGATCTTCCTAAAATTCAGGAAAACACAAAGTTATAGGAACTTAAGCAGGGCCACACTGAAACAATCTCATCAAAACTTTTGTAGGGGAGCAGAGGAGATGCCTTTTATGCTCCACCATAGTTGAGGGTACACCCTGACTATTGCTTCAGGGAAGATCTTTCATTTCTAGTATTTGTTGAGTAACTCTCTGATGATCCTATCCTGTTCAAGTCCTTCAGAATTTAAAAGATTCTTGTATCACCCTTCAGCTTTCTATTTACTTAAGATTTAAGAAACCTATTCTTTTTAATCCACCAGAGAAGCCACTTTTTCTCTTTGATAATTTTTTTTTCTTTTCGGGATTGTTTTGTAGTTTCATTGTCTTTCTTGAATTACGACCAACTAAACCACAGTATTCCCAATGAGAACAGATTTCATATGCTCTATCATGCTTTGTACTTTGTTTCCAGGACCCTTTCTAATGCTACCCCCCGACCCTGCTCTATCTTTCCAGGCTTCAAATAAATTGCAGGAAGGTGAAGAGTAAAGTAGGCCAACTCTGAACTTTAACATTTTTAAGCTGACTTGGCTGATATTTTTTATAAGCAAAATTATTACATTTTACACTATTAAAATAATTTGTAGTGAGGACAAGGTTGTTGTTAAAGAAAAATAATCAGACTGTCTTGGTTAAGAAAAAATATTGTCCATTTTAATATATTTATACTAGAACAACTATGTAAGACAGCAAATCTGCCCCAAACACATAATTAAATTTAATTAGCTAAATCCCCAAATGATTTTATAAAATTATTTGCTCTAATTAACTGATACGCAGATTAAAAATAAGCAGATGAAATCAGCTTTAAAACTTTAATACCAAAGGAGAACATTCAAGGTCCTATACACCACCAAGAAGTCATGATGGACAGGATTAAAATAATTAAACTGGATCTTTCACAGATCCATTTTAAACCAAACTGTTTGCAGAAAACAGTAAAGGTGAAGACACAAGATATAATAGGTTTAAGGGGATGTTTGAGTTCAATACCTAAAAGGATAAACACATCTATTCTTTATCTATCCCTTCTGCTATTAACATATTTGAATTCTCCCAGGACAGAATTCTCAATCTACCAGTCACCTCTCTACATATTTATCTGTCAGATCGGTCTTCCAGAAACAGACATTTCATTTCATAAAAATATCAACAGCCCCATGGCCACAGTTCATTGAACCTGTACTGCTGTTAAGAGAGGTTCCAAAACACACTCCATGGGAGACAGTTCTCCTTCTTGGACACCACTCCATGTCCAAAGAACCATCAGCAGGATCTGCCATGGTGAACACTCCTTGAAACTGTTTCTTCTTTTGGCTTTCAGGGCACACACCTGCCTGGTTTTCCTCCTAACTCTATGGCCATTCCCTCTTGGTCTCTTTTGCTCTCTTCTTCCGTATCTCTCCAATCTCTTAATATTGGAGCTTAGACTTCACTGGTCTTCTCTATCTACATTCATTCTCTTGATGATCTATCTCCTCCAGTCACATGGTTTTAAATATCCCATCTATAGGCCGATGACTCCCAAAATTATACCTTCCCAGACCTCTACCCTGAACTCCAGACATAATGTCCAACTACCTGCTCAACACTGTCATGTTGTCTAACAAGAATGTCAAATGTGATGTATCTCAAACTGATTTCCCAATATTCTACTCCCTGCTCTTCTCACATTCTTCTCCATCTTGGTAAAAAGCAACTTCATTCTTCTGATCACTTAGGTCAAAAAACCTTGGAATCATCCTTGACCCTTCTCTCTCTTACACCTCACATCCAATCTGCTAGCAAATCTGGCTGGCTTTACTTTCAATATATACTCAGATATATTCTTAACCACTTCTTAACCATCTCCACTGCCAAAATCCTGATAGATTACCTCAAAAGCCTCCTAGTCTCCTTGCTCTCCTTCATAGTGTATTTTCAACTAAGCAACCAGAGAGATGTTAAAATGTAGGGCAGATTACCTACTCAGTAAAAGTCCTTACAACGATTTACAAAGCTTGGTGTGATCTAGTTCCAGGTACTTTTCTGACCTCATCTCTTCCCACTTTGCTCTAAATTTCTCCACTTTAGTCATAATGGTCGCTTCAGTATTTTTGCAACTCACCAGGCACACTTCTGCCTAAGGACCCCTACATCTGCTGTTCCCTCTACCTAAAATGCTACTTTCCCAGAGAGGTGTGGCTAGCTCCCTCACCTTACTTCTTTCATGTCACCTTCCAAGGAAGGCCTTCCCTAGGGCTATCTAAAATTTCAGCTCCTACTACATAACACATATCCCTTATCCCTTCCTTGCTTTATTTTTCTTATCCCTTGCCACTAACATGCTAAACAATTTAGTTTTTTAACCTGTTTATTACTTGTCTGCCCCACTGGAAAGAAAGCTCTGCAAGGACAGGAATCTATAGTCACCTCAGCATCTAAAACAGGGCGGGGCCTATAAAAGCAATTACTTATTCACTGAATCAATCATTGGTAAAGATTAGGCAAAGAATTTCCATGTATTGATCATTAAATGATTAAGTGCCAAGCACTCATTTAATTAACAGAACCACCAATGAGGCAGGTATTACTGTCTCTTACATGACAAAATTGAAACTGTCCTAGGGCACAGAACTAGAAAAGAGAAAATCCGGAGTTTAAACTTCAGCCATCTGGCACATCAAACCCTGTGTATGTAAATAACAAATGTCTCCCTCCACACCTTCTTCTCAAGTAAACAAGGTTCTGACATCAAGCCAACTGGTTAGGCAGATGTTTTGGGTTACACAGTTCAAGGTTTAAATTCTGCTCTATCACTTGCTAAGGGAGTATCACTCTATGACCTATTTGTCCTTCCCATATTGTTTTCTCATCTGTAAAATGGGGATAATAACAGGGCCTAACTCTTTGAATACTTGTGACATTTGAATAATAATATTCAGAAAGGGTTTAGATAGTGCCTGCACAACGTAAACTTCCTTCAATTCTCATAACTTCCAAAAAGTCCTACAGAACACCAGTGCAACTGCTGGGGCAAGTTTTGGTTGCTTTGTTTTTAATATCATATTTGATATCATATTTAAACAGCTTTTGTACAGAAAATTATTGAAAAGCCCACTCACTAAATAATAATAGCAATGAATCTACTGGTTATATGTTAAGTGCCTGCAATGTTATACAAACTATCTCATTTAACCTTACAATGATTCTATAAAGAATGTACTACCTTTCCCATTTAAGATCAGAAAACTAACGTTTAGAGGGGTTAGGCAAACTAAGGTCATCTAGTTTGCCATTATGTTCTGCCTTGGCTTCTGACTTCAAAGACCAAAGTTTCAACTAGCTGCAGAGTTCTGGGGTATTCAAAAGATATAAACTGAAAAACATCATTATATTCCCATCAGGAGAGAGCAGTATTGCTATGAACTGTGAACTGAAAGGTGGAAAACTGCTTTTTAAAAAAATGACACACACAACACGTTTTCTGAACACTCATTACAGCCCAGGCACTGTGTTGGCCAGTCCTGTGCCTTATCTCATTTACTCCTAACATGTATTAACCCCGTTTTTCAGACAGGAAAATCGGGGATAACCAGCAGAGTTGAGTCACTTTCTCAAGATTACCCAGGTGGGAAGTGATCAAGCCGGGACTCAAACCCAGCCCGGTGTGAATTCAGAACCGTCCTCTTGACCGCCAAGCTCTCCGCCCAAGGTCAAAGGGCTAGTGGGTGGGCCTGCTCTCTCGGCCTGGAAGAGGGCCAAAGTCTAAAATACTGATCGGGAACGGTGGCCGCCCCGGCTGCCCGGCCGGGGATGGGGGACCGCCCGGACTCAGGCCCTCGATTCCCGCCCGGCCGGCCCACGACTCACGATGAGCCCTTGGCGGCTGGGGTCGTTGTACTGAAGCAGATACTCCCGTTTAAGCCGGGATCTTATGGCCAACCGCTCGGCTTCCGCCTTCCGGGCTTCCGGAGATACGTTGTATTCGGCTGGGTCGAGGGTAGAGGGTAGGGTAGCCAGACGCGACGGCTCGTACTTGGGGAACGACATCTTGGCAATCCGGGACACAATTGCGCCTGCGCGACTCCGAGGCCCGCCCCCCCCTCCCCCCTTCTTCTGGCCTTCATCCTGAGGAAGTGCGCTTGCGCGTTAGCGGAAGGTAGGCAATAAGAATTTGCCCAGGAGCTCCGTTTCTTTCCTCAACCTTCCTCACCGTCCTGGGCCCCCGAATAGCGATCTGCGCATGCACAGTGTGCTTTCCTTAACCTTTCAACCCCCCCCCCCGCTTCCTACTTTTAGCTACCCACAATCTATTGCTTGTTGCTTCTTCCTAGCAGCCTTACATATTTCTAGGGACATAGCAGAGCTTTATTTTGTGAAGTTGAGCTGTGTGAGACTGGCAGACACAGGAAATGGGACTGGCTGTAGCTAGAATCCTGTTTCAGTGTGAGTCCCTCCAAGATGTGTGACTTTAGACAAGTCATTTAACGTCTCTGAGTTTCCTCTTGCTCATTCTGGATAATGACCCCTATTCTGTCCACCTACCAAACCTTTAGTGAAGATTAAGTAAGATAATAAATAGGTGCCAAAGTGCTTTGCAAAACAGTGCCCGAACCAAGAAAAAGCATAAGCTTTTCTGTACGTTACCACATTAGATTGGTACAGCGTAAGTAGCGGCGTGTTTTTCATAGGCACGAAATAATGTTTAATAGGAGAATGATTTTTTTTTAAGATTTTATTTATTTATTTGACAGACACAACGAGAGAGGAAACACAAGCAGGGGGAGTGGGAGAGGGAGAAGCAGGCTTCCCACGGAGCAGGGAGCCCGATGCAGGGCTCGATCCCAGGACCCTGGGATCATGATCCCAGCGGAAGGCAGACGCTTAAAGACAGAGCCACCCAGGTGCCCCGGAAAACGACGTTATAAGAGAAATGTTGCCTACCTGACTGTAGTAAGTTATTAACAAATGAAGTACTGAATAAAGCTCCTGAAGAAACAGTATTTAATTAAAATACTAATACCTCTTACCTAAAATCCTTAGCACTCTTGGGTGCTAAGAAGGAAAATCATCCTTAGTTGATGCTCTTATGCATAGGGGCATTGTATCTTAATGTGAAAGATGATTTGGGGGAAAAAAGGGGGGGCTACCGGAAAAGAAACCTTCATGCCTACTGTCCTTCTCTCCCACTATCACGAAGGGGGAAGAAGCAACTTCAAGTTGAACGGCAGGGTCTGTGGGTACCAGTAAGACACTCCTCAGGAGGAAACATGTAAACAATATTTCCATAACTCAGGCAAGGAAAGCTGGATCAAAAGAGAGCTTCAGCTTGGATGCAATGTCTGGGGACATAGAGGTATGTTGGGAAATGGTTGCTAGGCAGAGAAAGGACCTAGAAAGTGCTGGCATTTGAAGTGATGAGCAGCACTGCTGTCAAATTTATTCAACGTTGTAATACTGTTTTTAAAATATTTATTAAGCACCTGCTGGGTGAAGCATTCTGCACACTAGTCAATCTTAGTCAATCTCCTAGGCTCAGTGGGGGAAATGCAGAAGAAATGAAGGACGTGGTATTTGTCTTTGAGGAGCTGACAGTACAGGCAATACAGAAAGAACAGACAAGATACGGTAATATTTGCAAAGCAGTTTAATGTCCAAATGAATATAGAGCAAAATGGGCTCATGAGAATGCAGGCTGAGGGAATGTAGAAAAAAGAAATTTGAAACATATCACTTACACTCAATTTTAAAGAAGGAGAAAAAAAAGTTCTGGTTTTTTTCAAAGGTGTTTTAAAATACCATAAAACAAAATGAAATGCAGGAGCAGGTTGCAAATTCTAAAGACAATCTTGATAAAGTTTCAAAAACCTTTTGTTTACAGATTAGACACTGATCTGGGAAGAAGGGCATGCAAAAAGGTTAAAAGAAAGAAGAAAGGAGTGCAACGACTACAGATGACAAAGTTTTAAAAAGACTTGGTAAAGTGAAGAGAAAGGGAGAGAAAGAGAGAGAATGACGAGAGAATAAACTACATCATTTCCCTTTGGATTAGTTAAGGTGTTTGTCCCACATTTGCTTGATTATCATAAGGATCCCTTAAGATGATTTTGTCAAAAAGATGGAGTCCTAAGTTCTGTTCTGCTCTTGAAGATTCAGAACTGATCTGGCAGGGGCACCCAAAAGACTAATTTTTAGTTTCCTGAAGGGATTCTTCTACTATTGTGTGTTTGGGAAACGTAGAGATGACTACAAGAGGTCTTCCTTTCCCTCTTCCTTTTTCCAGGAAAGGTCCTCCCAGAGTGAATCTATGTAAGAGGGAGACCTAGATTCCATAATGAAAGAAAAAGACTTGATTGAGACTTTATCTTGAAATAATGCAATCAAAAAATTATGAAAATGAATTTATCTTATATTTAACGTTTAAGGTTACAGTTACAATGTTGTGCTAATTCTGATAAATCAAATGTTAATTTGTGGACATGGTTATTTTCATATAGCTCATTATCCTTCACTTTGCATTTGATTTCTGCAGCAGGGTCATATTTGCAGAAATGTTGGAGGGCTTTATCCAGTTTTTCCAAGGTCCTTTCTTAATCCTTTGAAACTAAATTGTTTCCTTTTGAAGCATTGATGTCATCATCATTCTTATTGGTTGTCTTTTTTTCCTTTGTTATCTGGTCCAACTCTGAGCTCCTCCTTTATTAGTCACTTTGCATGTGGATCCAGCAGTTCACCAACATCACTTTCATCAATTTTATGGAAGCCCACATCTTTTGCAAGATTTGCGATAAATTTCTATTGTTTTTGAGGACTAGATATTTCCAAATGGACGACTAAGACTTTGATAGGAGTGGATGTAGGCATTAGGGTTAGCAGATGGAACAATTTAAGTGGGAAACAATTTCACAAGTGGTCATTTCACCAAAGAACGTTTCATGTTTTGAAGACTTTTACTTTTCTTAATAGAATTTGTCAGAATTTATTGGGACATGGATTACAAGGACTAAGTATATGTATTTGACTGTATTTGTGTTTGTATTTAACCTGTATTTGACTGGAAGAGGGAGGATAAAGTGGTAAAGTGGAGGAGAGAAATGCAAATATGCCAGCATAGTCAGGTTATAAGAATGGGACAGGATTTCAGGGAACAGAAGATGGACAGGTGAATACAGAAACTGTAAGAGGCAGGTAAGTTCCTGCTTATGAAGAGCATTCCTTCTCTTAATTGGGTAGGATCATAGGTAAATTTGTGAATAAACCCAATGCCCAGAGATTTAACTAATCAGTGATTAACAGCAGCTGACATTTAGTGAGCATTTTCCTTTATTCTTGTTTTTAAAAATCTTAACATTGAATATCAGCAAAGGATATGCTGTCAAACTAATGCAGGGTCCCTTCCTTACATGAGCCCTCTCAAGAACCCTGGGAAGGGCCCTAGAAATGTGCTCACATGGCCATTCTGTTTTTGTAAAATTAGAAAAAGTAAGATACTTAAATCACAGTTGCCTAAGACTGTTGTGTCTCTCCTCTCTGACTTCCTTCCCTTCTCCTGTTAGGTGGATCACAGTGGCCTGAGGCATTTGGGGGATCCAGCAAATGAAAATTTGAATTTAGTGGAATATATTTATTTGATTCACATCAATTTCAAGTGGAATTAAATTACTGCTAGCCATCCAGGTGCAGGATTGGCTTCCAGGGTTATTGTCAACTCCCAGTGTGCCATGAAGGTGCAGGATCAGAGTTTGTGTTTTGATATGAACTTGTCCTGTGAATCTTGGCCCTGGAAATACACAGGTAAAGGAGGAGAAATAAGGTTTAAAATATACAGAACCAGAAGCTAATCTGTGGGAGATTCTTCCAGTCATCATTGGCATTTTTTCTTAAAGAAGCACCTCCTTCCCACCCCCACCCCCAGCTCACCCCACCCCCCAAATTATGTAGGCTTCAAGTCCCATCAAACCCTGATCTTCCTGTTTATCAATCTTGTTAAGACTGCAAGGAAGAGACACAAAGTGCTATGTGAATTAATTTAATTGCAAGGAGATCTAAAAACACGGGGTAGATAGGAAAGTCATCTCTCATTTGGTTATGTAGCCACCCTGGGGATTTATCTTCCAAAATTGAAATAAACAGCAGTTCCAAGGGAGAATAAGAACAATATTTTAGAGCTTCAGTGTCCCACCTAAGCTCAAGTAAACCACTTTCTCTTTGTTTACCTAGCATTTACTATTCCTCCAAAAGAGGGTATTATTGAGTCAGTTTGACAGTATTCAATCTAGATTGCCTGAAAGCACCACATGGGAGATTGGCTTTCACTGTATCCAACTTATCTGCAGCTTTGTGGATCTGGACATTGTCCAAATCAGTCACGAATAAGATTACACGACTGTTTTTACCCAACAGATGCACTTAAGTCACAGAAGCTTCTCATATTTAGAGACGACTCACATAGAACTACTTGCTTCCGAAGTGGTATATCCAGCAGGCACATTAAGACTACACAGCCTGTCCATTACAAACATACATCACTTTCTGTTTCTACTATAGCTTTATAATAAGTCTTGGTATTTCAAGGGTGCAAATGTATCCATCTTATTATAGTTCAAAATTGTCTTAGCTACTTTTGTTCCTCTTCTTTTTCAGATGAATTTAGTATTAAGCTATTAAGTTCCATGAAAAAAAATCTATTGGGATTTTGAATGGAACTGCACTAAATGTATAGCTTGATTTGAGGAGAACAGATATTTTTAAAATATTGCATCTTCCCATCTGTGATCTGTTAGTCAGGTCCTTTATGCCTTTGGATCATGTTTCGTCATTTTCTCTGTAAGGAATTCTCACCTCCTCTATTAGGTTAATTCTGCTACATTATAGATTCCATTGCTATTGTTAATTGTTTCTTTTCCTATTACGTTTTCTAAGTGGTTATTACTGGTGTGTAGTAATATTACTGATTTTTATATACTGATCTTGGAACCAGTATCCTTGTTGAACTTTTTGTTAGTTCTATTGGCTTTTCCATTCACTCCTTTGGATTGTTCTATGGAGTTGGTCAGACCTTGTGAAAATAGCAATCTTGCCTTTTCTTTTCCAAATCTTGTACTTGTTTCTCTCTCTTAATGCTTAGCTAGGACCTACAGTACAATGTTTTATAAGAGTAGAAACAGAGTCTCCTATCTTGTTCCCAGCTTTACCAGGAAATCTGTTCACCACTGAATGTTTGCTGTAGAATTTGGTAGAAGCCCTTTATCAGGTTAAGAAAATTCTCTTATATTCCTTGCCAAAAGTGGTTTTTTAATCATGGATGAGTGATAATTGATCAAATACTAATTCTACATTTTTGTTATATAGTCATATGGTTTTTCTGTTGATCTATTTAAAACACGGAAAACTATAGTAGGTTGTTCTCATGTGGAATTCTGAATTACATTAATTAATTCTGGAATTACATTCTGAAATTGACTCTTTCATGGCATGATATGTTTTTTAATATACTGATTAAATAATTAAGTTGAATTAAATTTATTAGCATTTTATTTAGAATTTTAGCATTTAAGTTCATAGATGAATTGGCTCTATAATTATCTTTTTCTTATTTTGTTCTTGTGTAGTTTTGGTAGTATATTTACATGAAATGAATTGGATAGATTTCCTTTTTTTTTTTCTTTTTTTTAATTCTCCAAAATGGTTTGTTCAAGACAGGAACTATATATTCCCTGAAGACTCTCTAAATTATCTTTTAAAACTGTCTGGGTCTTCCTTTTTATCCTCAGGGGAGACTTTTGGCTATCAGTTCAATTTCTGTAATGGTTTTTGGGTTTTGTCAGGTTTTCTATCTCCTCTGGAATGCATTTTGGTAATACTTTCTTAAGTATCTTGTTTGAAGCTTATTGCTATAGAGTTTCTAATCTCATCTTATGATTTTTTTCAGTCTCCACTATCTTTATAATTATATAATCCTCTTTTTGTTTCTAATATTGTTTGTTTGTTTTCATGCCCTCCTTAATCCCCATCCCCTATTTCCCCTATCCCCCACCCAACCCCCCTCTGGTAACCATCAGTTTGTTCTCTATAGTTAAAAATCTGCTTCTTGGTTTGTCTCTCTCTCTCTCATTTTTTTCCTTTGCTTGTTTTGTTTCTTAAATTCTACATATGACTGAGATCATATGGTGTTTGTCTTCCTCTGGCTGACTTATTTCACTCAGCATTATACTCTTTAGCTCTGTCCATGTTGCTGCAAATGTCAAGATTTCATTCTTTCTTATGGCTGAATAATTTCCATCTTCTTTATCCATTCATCTATCAAAGCACACTTGGGCTGCTTCCATAGTTTGGCTATTGTAGATAATGTAGATAATGTTGCTGTAAACATAGGCGTGCATGTATCCCTTTGAATTAGTCTTTTTGTATTTTGGGGGGTAAATACCCAGTAGTACGATTCCTGGATTGTAGGTAGTTATATTTTTAATTTTTTGAGGAAACCCCATACAGTTTTCCACAATGGCTGCACCAGTTGTTTATTTATTGCTTCTTTTTTTCTTCATCCATCCTGCTAGAGGTCTGTCTATCTTGTCTTTTCAGAGAGCCTGCTTTTTATTTTATCATCTCTAATCAAGTTTTCCTCTTATACTTCTTTTATTTTTCTTGAGATTACTCTAATGTTCTTTTTCCAGTTTCTTTTTTTTTTTTTTTTTTTAAAGATTTTATTTATTTGACAGAGAGAGCACAAGCAGAGGGGGAGAGGGGAAGAAGCAGGCTCCCTGCTGAGCAAGGAGCCCGATGTGGGACTCGATCCCAGGACCCTGGGATCATGACCTGGGCCGAAGGCAGCCGCTTAACCAACTGAGCCACCCAGGCGTCCCCTTTTTCCAGTTTCTTAAGCAGAATACTTACCTCATTCATTTTCATTTTTATGCATATAATTATGTACATTTCATTTTAGCTACATATCCATAGGTTTTTATTAGTATTTTCATTGTCATGTAGTTCCTAGTATTTCATTATTTCTATTATGTTTTTTCCTTAATTCATAAGTTATTTAGAAATGTGGTTTTCACTTTCCAAATATTGTTTTGTTTTGTCTATTTTTTATTGTTAATTTCTAATGTAATTGCATTATTGTATAATATTAGTCCTTTGAAATTTGCTGAGACTTTTTTTTAATATTTTATTTATTTATTTGACACAGAGAGAGAGAGAGCACAAGCAGGGGGAGCAGTAGGCAGAGGGGGAAGGAAAAGGCTCCCCTCCCCACTGAGCAAGGAGCCTGATGTGGGGCTCAATCCCTGGGATCATGACCTGAGCCAAAGGCAGACCGCATGCTTAACTGACTGAGCCACCCACGCGCCCCTTGCTGAGACTTTCTTTGGGACTTAATATATGGTCAGTTTTTGTTTGTTTGTTTTTTTGTTTCTTAACAAACCATTTTTTTGAAATTTAGCATACATATAGAAAGAAAAATGCACAAATCATACATATGCTGTTCAGTAAGTTATTACAAAGTGAACAAAGCCTTGTAATCATACATAGTCATTTTTATAACAGTTCCATGTGAGCTTAAAAAGAATGGATACTCTATAATTATTGAGTGCAAGGTTAGATCAAGTTTGTTAATTATGTGGTTTAGGTCTCTTATATCTTTATTCACCGGTGTGCCCTTGATCTATTTCCAATATAGAAGTGCATATAATTTCCCAGTGCCATTGTGGTTTGTTCATTTCTCCTTGAGCAAGATTAGAATACACAGGGTGAATTGAAGGTGATATGGAAACATCTTAATGTGCATGCATCTGTGAGTTGTTTTTACCAAAAGACAAAGCAACTCATACATAATGGTTTGCTCATTCCATCCATTTAGTGTGCTGTATACAAACCAACCAGGAAGAAAAGATTTCTGCTTAAAATATACAGTACACTTAGAAACACATCTGTCATGTAGACATATCCAAAAGCTTATGAATATTACATTTTGCATTTCTCTCCTTCAGAGACAGTCTTTTCATCCTAGTCTTAGCATATATCTGTTCTTATTACTAAAGTCACTTACATAAGGACTTATTTGTACTTGAAAGGAACAATAAGTTTCCTACAGAGTGTAAGGTGACATTTTCTTGCAGGTTGTCAATTTAACATAAAAGAGGGTTGATCCTCTTAGCTGAGGCTATGTCATGCTTTCTTCTGTGGTATAAAGTGCTGCCCTATCATTATCTTTTGCTTGGGGAGAGCGATAGCCTCCTGGTTGGTTTTCTTACCTACATCCACCTTTACCATACTCCCATTTCTTTACCATACAGCAGCTAGAGTGAACTTTTATTTTTTTTAAAGATTTATTTATTTATTTTAGAGAAAGAGTGAGAGTGTGTGCACATGCGCAGGAGTAGGGGAAGAGCAGAGGAAGAGAATCTTCATGCAGCTCCCCACTGACCCCTGAGTCCCGACGTGGGCCTCTGGACAGGGCTCCATCTCATGACCCATGAGATCACGACCTGAGCTGAAACCAGGAGTCCAACACTTAACCAATCCAGGAGCCCCTAGAGTGATCTTTTAAAATATACATTATCCTAGCACCCCCATTTAAACCCTTACATGACTTCAAGACCCACTAAGGTCCGCTTCCTGCCTTTTCAGCTGTGCTTGGCTCCATGCTCCCCATCACTGTCTGTGCTCCAGCCACACTGGCCTCTCCTCAATTCCTTCCTTCAACAAGGCCTTTGCACTTACTCTTCATTCTGCCTTAAATATTACACACTCTACTCCTATTCATCCTTCAGAACTCATGCAATTCTATAGCCCCTTAACTAACCCACAAGGTCAAATCCCTCTACAAGCTTTTGTAGCATTGTAGACCTCTCTAATTACACTAATTCCAATTACAATCCTAATTTTACATTTTTTGTTATTTAGTTAATCTCTGCACCACCACCACCACCCCGCCCCCAAGAATGCAGTCTCTTTGAAGGCCAGGCCACAGCAAGCTGGACTCACCCTGCATCCCATCATGGGCACACTGCCTGGCACATCACAGCAGTGGTGACAGGCTAAATGATGAGTTGCCTTTCTTCACTTTAAAGTGAGTATATTGGGGTGACTGGGTGGCTCAGTTGTTAAGGGTCCTGGGATCGAGCCCCACATCAGGCTCCCTGCTCAGCGGGAAGCCTGCAGAAGCATATATCCTCTCCCACTCCCCCTGCTTGTGTTCCCTCTCTCGCTGTCTCTCTCTCTGTGTCAAATAAATAAATAAATCTAAAAAACAATAAATAAAGTGAGTATATTAACCAAATATACCTTCATCCCTCTTGCTGCCCCTGGTTTCATCCCCTGCTTACTTCCAGCCATACTCCATACTCACCCCTCCTCCACTTTTCACCCACCTCCACCTGTGAATTAAAAACTCAAGCCCAAAAGCATTGTCAGTAATGTAGCTTTGTACTGAAGATTTTGTGTGGTTCCAGAGGAGGGAGTACATTACAAAGTAAAAGGCCCTAACAATGCCCTTTTAACATCGCTGCTTCCCCCCAGCCTTGTCCCTACAGCAGCTGGAACTGTCGTACACCTCTTCCTTTGCTCCCCTGGCAAGTGTGCTCTGGGAACCCCTCCAGCCAAGCTGCATCCTCCTCCACCTGCTTCCAGGTCTATACTCAGCAGAACGAAGTGCAGCCATAGGCCAAGCCGTGACTCCTCGGTCCTTAGTTCATAGGGCCAGTTGCATTTATAAAAATTTGGAACAGAAAGCGTTGACCTTTTATTCATCTTTTCCTTTGCTTGCTGATAGTCTTCCCTCCATCAGTGCCATCCGTGCCTGCCCTCCCTGCTGTCTGTGGCTGACTGACATCTTATATCCGTCAAGGTCCATTTCAATTGCCCTACCTTCTGGAAACCTTTCCATAAGACCCTTAAGTTGAGGCGATTTTTCTCCTCCCTAAATATGCACACTACTTCTTTTATTCTTCTTGGTATTACAGGCAATCCTAGGATTACTTTTTTTCTCCCTCTCCTTTAAGAGCAACTTCTATTTCTTACTCTACATGTCTCCTGAAGAGTCTGGCTCAGGACTCTGCATTGCAGGCTCCAGTGTTGGTTGAATTATAATAAAACATTTTGTATTTGTTTTCTTAGGTTTTGGTAAAAGCCTCTTTGAGAAAGTTACTGATATCTAATATTTCAATTTCAGAGTCAGTGAGCAGAAACTAGCCCCCCTCCAAGCCCGACCGCTGGAAGAAACTCTGTACAAATTGTAGATGAAAGTGGGATGGCTTTTGGTTTAACAGGTTTGGAGAGAAGGTCTCTATCCAAGTAAAAGATACTATTGACATTTTTGCCTGGGTTGACTCTGGCTTTCTAAAATGAAGCAACATTCTGGCCCCTGAAAGACTATCAGGGCCCCTGAGAGAGTCTAACTCGTATGACTTTTTAAAAATGCCGAGGAAATGACTAAGTAAAAATGTTGGCATATGGGGTGCCTGGGTGGCTCAGTCAGTTAAGCATCTCCCTTCAGCTCAGGTCATGATCCCAGAGTCCTGGGATCGAGTCCCGTATCAGGCTCCCTGCTTGGCGAGGAGCCTGCTTCTCCCTCTCCCACTCCCCCTGCTTGCGTTCTCTTTCTCCCTCTCAAGTAAATAAATAAAATCTTTTTAAAAAAATGTTAGTGTATGAATTTAAGCTCCTGAAGTCTAGAGAGAGACCTGTGGCTAACAGTCTGTGTTCTCTTAGCATCAGTGTGATCTTCAGGTGAGCAGATCTCTCAGTGATTCACAGTCATCTTGATCAAACAGAGGATGGAGGCCCAGTGAGGAGGTTGGCTACATGTGCATACGGCTGACTGAGGACTGCTAAGATGCAACTCACCATCACTTGCTCAGATTTTCTACCAAATTATGTTTCTCTTCTCAACAGGAAGCCATAAATATCTCTCACTTCTTTCATTCCTATAAGCATCTTCATTACCCTGGATTAAACAGGATAAAAAATAAAATGTACTTCTTCAGTTTACTTCTTAACCATTTTTTTTACACTCCCAAAGTAATACAGTTCAGTTTATCTTCGCTTCTTGCCCCTATTGGCTCTTCCACCTGCTGTGCCCACCTCTGGCTTTTCTGGCAACCGATCCTTCCTTGACACCCCTCACTTCATCTGTGAGCTTTTATCACCCTGTCCTCTCTGCCCAGGAGGACATGCTCTTAATTTCTCTTGGTTTCAGCTCCACCTAGACAGAAGCAGGCTGATCCCAGAGAATCAATTCAGTGGAAGACCACGTCTCTGAATTGTGAGCTGACTTAGGACCAACCACAGTGAGTGAGTCTGGAGGCTGTGGAACGTGGCAACCTTTGAAGCCAGACGCAATGGCGCTTCAGACCCAGGACCCTCTCCTAAAGCCCCTGCAATTTATCACCCTGTGATCTTTAGGCCAGAGGGTTGATCTCTTTAGCCTCAGTTTCTTAAAATGAGATCATTCATTCAAAGCACCTGATGTAGAACCATTGTGGCAGGGTATGAGAGAAAATTGTTAGATGCCTTCTTCTTCTCAAGTGAGTGGTGGTAAAGACCAAACAGTTGGCAAAAGGTATGATATCCTATGTCTGAATCCTAGTTTCTTTTCTCTTTAAAATCCAGCTCTTAACAAGTCTATTTCTTAGGGCACCTGGGTGGCTCAGTTGGTTAAGCGACTGCCTTCGGCTCAGGTCATGATCCTGGAGTCCCGGGATCGAGTCCCGCATCGGGCTCCCTGCTCAGCAGGGAGTCTGCTTCTCCCTCTGACCCCCCCCCCTCTCATGCTCTCTCTCTCTCATTGTCTCTCTCAAATAAATGAATAAAATCTTGAAAAAAAAAAAAAGAAAAACAAGTCTATTTCTTAAAAGGACCAGCCCCCTTTTCCTTCTAAATATTCCAAAAATATAAAATCCAACCAAAGTTTTAATACACATCTTTGTGGTTGTTTTTCACAAGTGATAAAAACAGTTGGATATGATATCTTCCCATTTTTAAAATATTGGGGTAACTTATTTCTTTTATTATGGAAATTTTCAAATGTACACAAAAGTAGAGGAAATGACATAATGAACCCCTTATACTCATCCTGAGCCTTTTACAATTTTAAATATTTTGCCAGTGTCATTTTATCTATCCTCCTATATATACATTTCACTTTTCTTTTTGCTGGATTATTTTAAAGCAATCCCTGACTGTTTCATTTTACCCATAAATACTTTAGCCTGTATTTCTAACAGGTAAGGAGGTTTTTTCCTACATAACCACGATGCTATTATCACACGTAACAAAATTATTAATAATCTCAGGAGGATTTTAAAAATAGGATTCTGGAAAAAGCAAGCCAAAGGAATGAGTAATTTAGAATTTCAAGCACTATGGTAAGCAGTTTGGGAAGATGCTTTTAGCAAAGGGGGTACTTTCACTCTTGCAAATGACATCACAGAGCCAGATGCCACTTTCTCCTACATATCCGTAATTGGATTTACTTTCTTACCCCCAAATATATTCCTTAGTTCAGTTCAAGGCGTCAGCCACCACCCAGAAGCTCAAGCCCCAGACCCACAGTCCTTATAGAGTCTCCCCTATGCCCCCCCCCACTTTGGCACTCCATTTCACCAGTTTTGAAGTCCTAAATCTCAGGGTGAATATTGCTCATATCCATCCCCTTCTCTTTATTCCCACTTCCACTCCTTTTGTCTGGGCCCCTGTTTTCTATCTCTACACTGAGGTTATTGAAAGATTTTCATTTGGGGTCCCCCCAGAAACAGAGCCTGAGACAAGGAATTGAGTATAAATAATTTATTCAAGAGGTGATCCCAGGAGACCTGGAAGCTGAGCTGGGGGATGAGACAGGGAAGTGAAAGAAGCCGATACAGGCTGTGTTATCAAGCATTGAAGGACACTGGAGCTCCATCCCACTGGAAAAGTCTGGGACACAGTACAGAATATGCCTCAGCATTATCCCAACTAACAGGCAAGGGAGCTGGGCTACTCTTTATCCATCAACTCTCGACCCATCATTGCTTTATGGCTGTCCCTAGCACTTCTGGCCTGCACTGAGCATGGGCTGAGCATGCTGCCAGCCAGAACCCAGAGGGTCATGGGCCTTCAGTGTGTAATGGTGAATACCAAGGGAACATGGGCAGGACTCCCACAGCGCTACATTACATCCCACTCTCTCCCGCACAGAGACCAGGGACAGCTTCCTAAAGTGCATATCTGATTCTGGTACTTCTCTGTTCAATAAAAAGGGTATATGGATAATGCTAAAGACCAATCTTGCTTATTTCCTCTGATGGGGGTGACTGTCTTGAGTGGTACTGAACCGTATGATCCTGAGCACCTTTGGTATACCTATTGCAGGTGACCAAAGTTTGGGTTGGACTAACTACTCCTGAGTTCAATGGATAGATAGCCTTATTCATATGTTTGTAATGAAAGCCTTGTTTATTTACAGAACAGGTTGGGAGGAGAAGGGACATATGACTGCCTCTGGTCTGGCTTTCACTGGGGCAGACCTTTACCTCTCAACAGTTTGGTACAACCTTTCCCAGACAGTGGGGTGCCTCTCTCCCCTGGTGCATCGAAGCTGTCCTGGCAATACTTTTCTCTTTTTTATGCAGGCACATTGTCTGGGAATCTCAATGTGATTTACAAGCTTACATAACTTCCCAAATGAGTCAGCATGCTCATCACGAAGGCAGCATGGTGCCGTGGAAAAAACATGGCATTTGGTGCCAGAGAGAAAGTTCAGTACCTGCATCTGTCACTTCCTAAGTGTGTGCTAGACAAGTCCTTCTACCTCTCCAAGCCTCAGTTTCTTCCTACGACAAATGGGGATCGGAATACCTACCTCGGAGGGTTATTACAAGAATTAAATGAGGTGAAGAAAACGGTGTGATACGTAACAGGCCCTGAGTCACTCACTGATCGCCTTCCGCATCCTATATCCTGGTTTTACCCATCTGGCAGCAAGTTCTTGAACCTCACTGACCTGCAGTGAGCAGAAAATGCTGATTTATCTTTATCTCCTTTTAGCACTCGTGGATTTTAGAAGAAAATCCAAATCAGTTCTTTGTACAGGAAAAGTGCTCTTGTTCCACTCTGGGCAACGCAGCCACCTCGTGTGTGAAATAAATACGGACCAGAAAGGGCTAGGGTGCTGGAGGAAGGGCTGGGCTGGCACAGCCCGGCTCAGCACCCACTGCGGTGGCAGCCAGAGATCGCTGGAGGGGACTGGGCGAGCGCAGGGCAAGACAGACAGCCAGAAAAACGAAATGGGCGGGAGAGGACGTGAGAGCCCATCTGCAAAGCGGCTCAGCACGGCGGGGAGCAGTGAGGAATGGCGTTGCAGAACGTCCTTCCGGAGACGAAGCCGCGGCATGCAAATGAGGGCGCAGCTGTGCGGACCAGGGCTGGGGACGATTCTGGAACTGGTTTTCCAAGGTGGTTGGAACAAATGCCTGCAAGTTAAAATAATAGTAATAAATAAAATCCCTGGTCAGCGAATGAACACTGCTGCAAATGTTCTTCCCCGCTGGTCGCAGCGCTATAAAGGCAGGATTACCAGACAAGCTGATTTCCAGGATCTTTGGGGGCAGCATAATACATAGTTAGCAGTCACCTAGGGTCAGCAGAGAAAGTGTTTATAATTAAGGGGTGATTGGTGAGTGTGTCCATAGCAGCAAAGAAACCTCTAAAAAGAGAAACCAAGAGCCGATCTTTGAACTTAGAAACTAGAGAATGTTAGAACAAGAAAGATTCTTTCAGAGCATTGAACTGTGCTGGTGATTTTTAGATGCTAAAGAAATAGCAGAACCTTTCTTTCAAATAAAATCTACATCAAAAACTAATGATGTAACATATGGTGATTAACATAACATAATAAAATTTAAAAAAATAATAAAAAGAAGAAATCTATTTAAAAAAAAAAAAATCTTGGGCAGACTCTCCCCCTGGAAGGCGAACAAAAGGGATGCTGCCCTGAGGAGGGGAGGGGAGAAGGAGAAGACAGTGTGGCCCTGGAGCTCCAGCCTCCCCCACCCCCAGCCTCCCTGTTAGATCTGCCAGGGAGGCCCAGAAGAGGTCCTGGAAATCCTTAGGCCCCACTGACCACAGTGTGAAAACCCCCAGGCCAGTCCAGCCCGTGCATTGTACAAATGCAGAGTTTAGGCTCAAAGAGGGCAAGTGATTAGTCTAAGGTCACCCAGCAGAACTGGGACTAGAGTCCAAATCTCTTGAGTTTAAGTTCCTTGCTCTGTTCTAAAAACCATCTCCCCTTAAAAAAAAAAGAAAGAAAAGAAAAGAAAAGGTATCTTTAAAAATAAAGTTACCTCATGAAATAGTTTGTTAAAGTAAATGAGAAAGCAAGAGACATCCAAGTGTAAATACTGGCTTTGGAAAGAATCCAATTCTATCTTCTTGACTGCTGGACCCAAGTGCAGCTTCTTATTACCTTTGTTTTTAGGACTTTTAGCATGGCAGTCACAAAATCCAAGTAGATTTGCTAAATGAAAGGTCTCTTAAACCAGGGTAAGTCTAACCAGTCTGTGCCTTCTAGAAAACACCAACCTAAAACAATTACAACAGCTTAGTATCTGAAAAAAAAAAAAACAAACAAACTATTTTTTAAAAAGATTTTGTTTATTTATTTGAGAGAGAGGGAGAAGAAATAAGCAGGGCGAGGCACACAGGGAGAGGGAGAAGGAGACTCCTCGCTGAGCAGGGAGCCCGACACGGTACTCAATCCCAGGACCCCGGGACCATGACCTGAGCTGAAGGCAGAGGCTCAACCGACTGAGCCACCCAGGCGCCCCTGAAAAAAATTATTTCTAATATACTGGCACAGTAAGAAAGGAATCTGAAATGCACGGCAGATGGAGATGGCCAGACCCAAGCTCCCACAGCAGAGCACAAGGCGCTTCGGATTCCTGGCTCTACATCCCACGGTGAAACCTTGAGCAAGTCACAACCTCTCCCCTTCTCAATCTTCTTTCAAAAATCTATAAAATGATTAAGTCATTAGAGTCATTAAAAGTCAATATTCAACAGAACCCTGAACTCAGCCAGCACGGTGCCTGTTTAATGCACAGCAGAGGCCTCTGTGTCTAAGTCAGAGGGCGCAGGAGCACAATTGGTGCAGACGAGCAAGGAGAAGCTGCCTCAGGAGAGTCTGCTGCAGGATGAAAGGAAAGAGGGAGGAGGGAAGCCGAGGCAGAGAAAAGCAAAGGTTCTCCTTTCATGCGTCAGAGGACCGGATTTTGGTCGGCATCCATCCTGTACATTTATGTGACACCTATTACCCTGGTCTCACCTTGAACTAGGAATGTTCAGTTAAAGACAGTAGCATGTGGGGCGCCTGGGTGGCTCGGATGGTTAGGCGTCTGCCTTCGGCTCAGGTCATGATCCCAGGGTCCTGGGGTCGAGTCCCGCATGGGGCTCCCTGCTCAGTGCGGAGCCTGCTTCTCCCTCTCCCTCTGCCATTCCCTCTGCTTGTGCTCTTCTGTCTATCTCTCTGTCAAATAAGTAAATAAAATCTTTAAAAAAAAAAAAAGACAGTAGCATGTGGTAGCAGCTGATGAAATGATACCAAGTGTTTACAAGGGGAAGAAAAGCAACACTTTTTAAAATGCAATAGCCTGTGCATTTTGTTTATGTGATTCAGTTTAATCCTTACTATAACTTTCAAATTAGGTATCATTTCTCCCCCCATTTTACAGATCTAGATGCAGAAAGGTTTAGCAACTCCTTTGAGATAACGGGTATTTTATGTAGCTGTGGGGGATGTAAGCTCCCTCAGGACGGAGACTTTCTCGTTCATGCTGCTATGCTCAATGCCGAGCACAGTGCCTGGTACATAGTAGGTGATCAATGCACATTTACTAAAGGGATAACCGAAGGAAAAGGCCAAGCTTTAAATCCAGATCTGCACAAATCCCGAATCTAATTCTTACTACCGTTGAACTCGTGTAATTTATTTAAAACGATTGGCATTTGGCCAGTTGTTCTTAATCCTTTATTTACCGCGTAATTGGAAGTGTTGTGAGCTCTGGTTTCTATGCCTATCGGAAGCTCTAGCTACATAATTAGTTACTGAGTTCCCATCTCTTGGCTGAATCTGTAATTAAGCGGGTTTTTTAAGATATAGTTAGACATAGTCCCAGGTTCCCTAAAATGCGTAGCATTCACCCAAAGGACCAGACTTGAAGTAAAACACAGGACTGGAAAATATTTTATCATACTCCAGTATCACTGCTCTCCCTGGTCACCTTAAGCAATTACAGAACAAAAAGATGCTTTTTTTTTTTTTTAAATCAGTAAACACAAATTTTAAAACACACACTTTCATAGAGTTTCTTCACAGTGTATTTTAGAAATGAAGCAAATTCTGACTCGCTAGCACACAATGATATTATTGAATAACAGTTTCTGTCTAAGAAAGGAAAGACTTGTCAAGCATGTTGTACTAGAAGGGCGCACTCAGGTGTGCCTGGGGTCTTGCTCTGCTTAACGCTTCAGGACTCAACAAGGCAGGCCCAGTGATGTGTACAAAAATGTTAATTTGTCAGAACGGGTGGTTCTGACAGAGAGAGTGAGCAAAATCATGTCTCCTTGTCCTTCCCCGTCCGGGACCCTTCCTGTCTGTTGTGTTGGCCAAGGCTGTAGCTGGCATGGCTCTGGTCATCCCAGGGTACTTCACTAGGCCTTTTCAGTCGTATGCTCGCTACTTCTTCCTTCTCCCACTTTTCCCAAGTATTTACCAAGGGCTCTCATGGGCTTAGCCTCTGCAAGGGGCTGTGGGAGCTACTGAAAGAACAGGGAACGAGCTTCTAGATTCTCGCGGGCATTACTCATCGCATTCCGGGAACTCAGGTGTGACCACAAGGTCCCAGCAGCTGAGCTGGTGACTTCATTACTATCACCTTCCTTCCTCATCAGCCCCTGAGATCTTGGAAAGTCTGTCTTGTTATTGTAGCCTGAGGAGTGTGATTCTCCCTTATTTCCTTCTGCAGAGGGGGGCACCATGACATCAACGCAGATGTGGAACCTCTCGCCTTGAGCGAGATAGCACCCATCATACCATGCCTGCACCCTCACAGTGCTGTCAGCCCTTCCCAAGTCAGTCAGTTGGAGGAGATACAGGGTCAGTTCAGCTTTGTGGGAAATTCTCCTTGCTTTCTGTACTGGCCTTTGGCTACCTCTATTTCCAGCCTGCGCTAAACTACTAAATATATATATAAATATATAAACTACTAAATATATATATATTCTTGGTGGTAGGATTGGGTCTCTCAGAACTCAAATATTCTCTTTATATTCTCCTTATTTCCTGCTCTGAGTTTCCCTCTAGAACATCTGCCCTGGTCAAAATCCTTTTTTTTCAATTACAGTTTTATAGTGTACAGTTCAGTGCTTTTTAGTATATTTGCAGAGTTGTACATCACCACTATCTAATTTCAGAACATTTTCACCACCCCCAAAAGAAATCCCATACTCATTAACAATCACTTCCCATCTCCCCCCTTCCCCCGGCAACCACTAATCTATTTTTTGTTTCTATGAATTTGTCTCTTCTAGACATTTCATATAAATGGAATCATACAATACATGGCCCCCTGTGACTGGCTTCTCTCAATTAGCATGCAGGTTTCAAGGTTAATCCACGTTGTAACATGTATTCGTACATGTATTAG